CTGCACTGACATCTGGTGGTAGTTTATATGTTTATACAGTATTTGAAATATTTTTCATTCAAAGGTTGGCCAACTAATTCCCTGTCTAGAATATGCCTGCTTATGTATTTTGGGCTGTTCCACCTTATTTTGTGCCTTATGTGTGGTGGCTGTTGTTTTCCCACTGTCTTGCTTCTGACTCTGGGGCAAAAAATTTGAAATTGTTGAAACTAATAATTATTTTACCTAGCTTAAAAATGTATTGACTTTTTCAGATTGTTTTTTGTGTGTCTTATAGCAGTTATGCGGAAAAGGAAACATTATTTTATTATTTTTCTTTCCCTTCAAATATTTGCAAGTCTTATGAAGAAAATGAATGCAGTAGTTTTCTTTCTTTGAAGCTGAAAGGAGAGCTGAAGGAGAACCCCGAGATCCACCTTCATTTTTAGGTCTTCCCCATCAGACAAAGACTCCAGGGTTCCTCTTTACGTACTCATATATATAAATATGTATTTCTAAAGTGAAGCACAGAATGTTTAAGATGGGAAGAAACAGAATTCATTGTTGTGGGATTGAAGTCATCTTAGAAACATGCAAGGCTTTTTTTTTGAGAAAGTTGATAGCAAATCATTGTTACCAGGATCACAAGGTGTTGACTGAAACTGTGTGGCCTTCCAGGAACAGGCAGATGAGCAAGCAAACTTGGCAATTTTGAGAGAAATTGTTCTTCATGTAAGAAAACAGCAGTAGTGAGAGCTTTGTAGTTTTTGTGGTTACCGCACAGATATGGAGAGACAGGAAGGGGGATCCACCAGACTCTAGCTGAGCTCTAAGGATGCTTGACACTCTGACTGCTCCTTCCCAAGTCCAAATCTCAATTCTTCAGACTGACTTGGCTGTTACACTGTATACTAGATGTTTCTTGAGGGGTAGCTGATCAGTGAAGGAGGTAAATTGGGAATGTCTCCAAATGTCAAGACCACAGTCTCCAGGATTCCATCAGGCAAAGAGGGAAGAATTTTGAATAGCTTGCAGTCTTCCCTCGGCCTCCTCCTCTTATAGCTGTTTGTATTCAGAAGGGGGATTCAGCACAAGTGTTTTGCCCCTCAAGTGGGTCTCTGCAAGTGGGTCAGGTAAGCCTCTATGTAGGCAGGTTCCCTCTGTGCATTATGGATTTTGATGAAGATTCTGAGATAGTTTTACATTTCTGTAAAAAGCAGTGTAAGAGGCTTTCCTATATAAATAGTGCGTCATTAGTTTTGCTAATCACATAATATTTATAATATTCAATGATAATTGCCCCCATTTTAATGGTGTGCTTGATGCAGAGCAGAAAGATTAGCTTTTTTAGAGAGCCATGAGTACACAGAAGGTAGCATAAAGTAAGCTCATCTTACAAGCCTGTAGGGGAGTTAGACTTTGCAGTATATATAATTTTCTCCCTGTTTGCAAAGAGGGTACTTTTGCTTTATTTTATGGTCCTCTGCTGTTGGGTGATATAATTGAGTGGTTCTGGCTATAACAAGTATTCTCTAAAGTGAGCAGTGAGTAATTCGTGCATGTTGGCACCCAATTTATTGTCATTACCAGAAATTAAACATCTAACTTGCTACAAAGGGAAGAGAATATGTTTTCTTTTTAGTCCTTCCCTTTTGTGCTTAGTTGTAAAATAAAAGAAAATTAAAGACTATAGTTTCTTAATAGTAGCATTTACTGGGCAACACACAGTCTCTTCTTTCCAGGTGATGGCAGGGCAGTGCTTTAGTTTCGGGTTATTATTTTGTTGTTGCACCACATTCTTTTAGCAGCTGCTTCTTAGATAATTCTCTGTACTACATTTTACAGTCATATCCCTCAAGTGTAGGAGAGTGAAGCCAAGGGAGAGCAGGTTTTAGGATCAGGTAAATAACTATGTCACTAACACCTTGCCTCTTGGAGATCTGGGGGAGAAAGCTGTACTTAATTTGCAGTACTTAATTTTTACTTTTGTGATAACTTTGCTGAGACCATGATCACTTGTGTGGCTATCGGTGCCTTCCCTTAGAATCTTCAGAGGAAGAATTTTAGCCTAGCTTTGTGCAAGGCTTGCTGGCACATCGCCAGCTGCATTTCTTAGACACCTACCGAAGGATGTGCTTTGCAGTGGAAGCTGGGGCAGGCAGGTTGCTGTATCTGTGTACCTAGACATAGACAAGGAACTGTGCCTGGCAAGTGGTAGGAATTTCTTTTGGCAAGGGGGTGTAATATATGTAGCTTCTTATCCTCCCCAAGTTCATGCCTCTTGGACTACATAAATATTAGTAAAAAGGGAGTAGCCAACTGAAACAATTTGGAAGTCAAAGGCAGTCAATAGAGAAGCTGTAGAAATACTGTGGACCTGTGCTTAAAATCATCATTTAATTGCTGTCATGTTCTTCTGTCATTTGTTTTGACTGTATGCCCTTTAGAATAGGAATTACTGTGTTGAGTATAAATTAAGTTCTTGCCAAAAGATTTCCTTAAATTGTTTGAAGTTACCTGGTGCACCTTTCAGAAGCACATCTGAAATATATATGCAAAACTGACTTTTGAAGTCCTAAGTCACTTGTCTTATTCACTTAAATGCTAAAGCTGAAGAATATATAAGTCTCCAAAGTGTTTGGGATTCTGTGAGACCATAATATGTTACTTACTTTTTATTCTGATTTTTCTTGTTCTGAAGCTCCAGATTCTTTTTGCTTCATGTGTTTTGAGTACTTCCTTGTCACTGCATCGTTTGCCTTGACAAGTTTTCTTCTCTGTGTGCTGACAGTATGTTGCCTGTTACAGCACTGGCTCTCGCAATTTTCTTAGATATGAAGCCCATAGCTCCAGTAGTTCATAGGCTTATTTTGAAAGCAGAAATTTTTCCTGCTGTAGACAGTTTTGTGGTTTTTTTCCTTCTACTTACCTTTTAGCAAATACAATATCAATGCTTTCTGAATTTACATAGTTGTGTGTGGGTTTTTGTATTGGGAACATACTAGGTTATTGGGAGAAGAGTAATTTTTTTGTTCCATGTGTTAAACTTGGAAGAACTGTTCTAATGTTAGAGTGTAAAGTAAGTTAATATTTTCTAAGTCAGCTGTCTGATTTTTAAGCACTGAAATTTGAATTGTACTGAAAACGTAATTATAAATAGCAGTTCTAACCAGTGGTAGTAAAATATGCAAACCAAGATGATATCATGATTGATGTTTTAAATATAAAAAAATCATCGTAGCTCTTGCAGGATCAAAATAGGATCTGTTAGCAATAGAAATATCAGACACCTGTCAGCTGAAGATTGAAGATTTACTGTGGTAAATTCTATCAAAGACTAGCACAGTATTATTTTTTAACTTTCTCTTGTAAAAGGCTGAAGTGCCTCTGCAAATCATACTTAATCTGCAAAACCTCGAATGAGAAATGCAAGGTCTCTTGCAGCAGTTCATGTGGGATTTCAAAACTGGCTCTGCCTCCAGGAGGAGCTGGGACTAGATTACCTATTGAAGTGTTTACACCTGGATTATTCTGAGATTTACCCCTTTTCCTTGGTCTGAGAGAGCAGCAGCTCCATGATTTTATTTCTGCACTTTTGCTTTTGTTTCTACCGATGGATTCATTGTTGAGCCAATGCCAGTCAGTTTCTTGCAGGGCTACCTGGCAATCTGATTGGTGTGGCTGCTTGATTAGAGACAGGGATTTTCCTCTTCTGTTGTATGCTTGACAGAGATCCAACCCACAGAACCCACAGACATGTAAAGTTGGTGGGGTGTTTGAGGAGAGATGCATCTTCTTAGTGCAGAACTAGCATAGGTTGTTTAACTGCAGACTGGAGAGATGATTTATTGAGGACACATAGCATGAGAAAGAAAACTTTTAATTCTTACAATTTGTGCCTTGCTCTTGCAGTCAGTGTTCTTTTATAGAGGACTAAAAGGTAAAGATGATCTATCTGTGTCTTCAGATCTATTTCAACTTTAGAGCCTCCTGCAAATCTCTAGGCCTCCTTGTGAGTGGCCAAGCAATAGACAATTATGTAGTCCCCTTTTTTCCCCTCCTTCTGCTGTTGTGTTTCCTGACCAAATCAATTCCCTCCAGGCACTGCCTTTTAGATATCTATCCTGAATTTTAAAAGTACTGGAATGATATGTAGATAATGGTAGAGGAGAAAACTATGTAGTTACTTTGGTCCAAATAAAACATACTTCATGCCACAGATCAGCTGTTTCCTCAGAAAACTGGCCAGTACACTATGCTATAAATTGTGTTCATATGATAAGTACTGTACTAGTATTGGGGCAACCCTTCTATGGGTTGTGCTCTCAGCTAAAGCTCCCACCTTTGAAGCAGATGAACTTTTTTTTCAAAGCACATTGCTGTGCTTCTGTAACACAATTTGGGACCCTGGTTACTTGAATATGTTTTTTTTTTTTGCATATGCATTGTTTTTTAAAGCAGAAAGTATTAATAATCTTGTCCCAAAGTTTTTCTTATGTTGTACTAAAACCTGTTTAAGTGGAATTTTTTTTCTCTTCTGAGGATTTTGACTTTTGTTCTACATGATTTTTTTTTTTCTTTTTTCTAAATGGATTATATATTTTTTTAATTTTATTTTGTTTGGGTTTTTATTTTCCTCTTAGAGATGATGCCTTCAAGGAAACTGAATAATTAAAGTGTTTCTGAGAAGAAAGTACAATCTCAAATGCACCTAGACTGCTGTTAACAGCCACATGTGGTTATTTAACCAAACTCTTCAATTTGCCAAGCTATATCTTTAAAAGTATTCTTTTCATCACAGTATTCAAAAGTGTCCTTGAACCATCATTCCTCTGTTAATTAAAAATAAGCTAGATAGTGTAGGCATTCTGTGAGCCAGCACTCTAAATATCACTTTTAAATAGTGTTAAAAAGCTTCCAGTCCTTTGGAAATTACATGACAGCTCTTACTTGTAGAATGCAAAGACCATTTTTTCTGCTATGTGCACTCATTAAAATGGTGAATTCTCTGTTTTCTGCAGACACGACGTCAAGACATGCAAGAGTATTTTGGAGTGAACTGGCAGTAAGCCTTGCAGTACCATGGTGGCAATAACACTGGCTGTCCTCTGGAGATGCTGAAGCTCAGCCTTATTTTGAACTTCTTTCTTAGACCCTGCAACCTGTTCACGAAGGACTGCTACTGATTTGGATTCATATGGTCATGGGTATGGATTTTTTCCTCCCATTACATGACATCTGCATGTTTCCAGCAGTCAGTGATGAAGTCAGTACTAGGTCTGCTGACATTTGATCTGTTCTTGGGAGCTCTGAGTGACAGGTATTGTAAACATCCTACACTCTCAGCTGTGGAAACTAAGAAAGCTGGGAGAAGGCTGTTTACTCTCCCTGCCTTGGAAATCATCTGGAGAGCAAAGATGGAATATTATGTTGACTGTATTTCTGGCAGCCTGTATTTCATACTTTACATTATGGTGTCAGTAAATTAATTATGTCATTATAATGTCATTATACGTGATAATATCATCCATGTCTTGTGTCCAGACCAAGGTCAGAAGGGCTTTATGATATGCTTTAGCTATACTGCTGGCTTGAGGGAAACTTAAATAGTAGCAATAATACACTGTAATGCTTCCATCCTTAAGCAGCAATTAAAAAAGACCTGTCACACTGTTTGTTTACAGGTAGTGATACACAAAAGTTGCAGTGTGAGCATCTTCAAGTTGACACATCAGTATTGTATTTAATCAAAATCACCCTTAAATGGTTGGTACTTGTTTTTCTAAGATCTACTCAATTCTTGTTTTCTACCCAAAAGTGCTAGAAACAGAGGTTAGAAGGCAAAAAGGTTTTAGAGGAATTCAAATTTCAGTTTCTTTTCAAAGAAAATCAGAGGTGTCAACATCAACTCCGATTCTAAATTAAATTAGGATACAAAAGTCTTATACCTTATGTTTTCCACTTGGTGTTCCCTACCACTTGCTCCCCAGACTGTATTATACTTTGTGCTTTGTCCTGGCAATCTTTCTCTTCTTTCCTGTATTTCTTTCATTCTATATACTGTAAACCAAGTAGAATGTAGAATAAGCTGAAAAATAATTTTCCTTTTAGATCTAATGTCCTGCTGGCATGGTACTAAATACTCTTAAAGTGAGTTTTGCAGCTTTTCTTAAGCAGGGACTCTGGCAGAAAGAATATTGTTTCCTGCTTTTCTCTTTTTCCTTGTTTATGGGGAAGGGACACACCTTTTGAAAAAGAAATTTATCATATTATAGTTGGATTCAAAGATCATTGTCTAGTTTCTTTTGCAATAGCATTCTTATGTCTTCAGAGCCTACTGCTTCAGCTTTTTAGAAAAGACATTTAAATATAAAATCTTGGAAATAAGGGCTTTTAGAAGAGTTTAGTTTTCAGGTTTTGTAAAGGGATGGGAGTAGAAAGACAACAGGTAAAAGAATGTGTAAGGGTTTGAAGTAGTACTTACACAAAATGAAGAAAGAAAGAATTCAAACTTTCATGCAGAACTTAAAAAAAGTCAGTTATTTGAAGTAATAATTATTTTTCAGGCTCTGTCTTGCTTTCCTATTGGAAGAAGCAGTAAGAGGTCACAGTGCTGTAGTGAAGGACTAAATTGATAAGTAAAAAGAAGGCTTATGATTTGTGTAGTAATTTCCAAGAAAAGCAGAGTTAACCCCTGCAAATGATTGTTTTAAGGAGATGTTAGCTGTTCAGACTAGTCAGACGATAGGGGGTAGCATTTCCTAATACACATGGTTCCCTTGGCAGACAGAGATTTCAGGGGATGGTGGAGCACAGTTACTTCCTCCACTGCATGACAATACTGATTGTATGTAGACTGTGCTGTCTGGGAAAGACAACCTCCTCATGGAGGTAACTTCCTGAATTTCTGAGGTGTGGGTTTGTATATTATTTTTATTTAGACATGCTTTGGGTTTGGAGTCATTATTTTGTGTCAATTGAAAATATTTCTCTATATTTAATATTACTTACTTATCACTGAATAGTGAAATTCCATCTTCAGTTTCATCCATCTAAGACTCCAATAGTCCCAACTTTGTCATACGTTTTTCCTGGCCCACACTTTCCTGGCTTTGTACTGACATGATACGTTTAAACTGCAAACCAATTCAGTGTCTTGACCCCACTGAAAACTAATTAAGCAAAACAGCTTTTATGTGGATCAGCTGCTTACTCCACCACTGTCCTGTGGTCTGAAATGCTACTGAAAGTACTAGTTCCTTCAAATATGGCCAGTTTCCTGAAGAAAAAAAAAACCCAGCATTTATTTTGAATAGATTATGTAATCCTAAAACAATAAAATAGTGAAATTACAGGATTTTGAATATTTTATTTGATATTAGTCTGTTGATGCTGTCTGAACACTATTGCAAGCATGGTGTTAAAATAAATTCAGATTAAATTGTTTTAATTGAAATCTTTCATTTTTTGAACACCATTTTATGATTCTTCTGTAAAGATTTGTTGGTAAAGTCTAACTAAATTGTGTTGCTAGAAGGGAGTAACTGGTAATTTTTCTATCTCCAGACCTTTAATTGTAAAGGTATCTTCTGATGTACCTGCACCATACTGAGCACTGTATAAATTGCATCATTTCTAGATCACAGAGGTTTTTTTCCCCCCAAGGTATTGCTTGCCAAGCCAAAAGCAAACGTGTCCTTTTCTCTTGTTAATCCCAGACTTCAAAGAGTTGAAAATTCTTTCCAGTCTATCAATTAAACATAGAATTTTTCTATTGTGGAAAAAAAGATGTAACAGGGCTGTTTCAAAAGCCTGTTGCCAGTAATGAGTTTTGGATTGGGTCCATGGAGAGGTAATCTGGATAGCTACCACCACAAGTCATCTCTGGGAAATTGCTGATTGTAGGCATGGCCTTTTTTTCTTGAAGGGTGGTTCTGCCAAGATGCGAAAATGATTTGTTCCAAGTGATTCTTGGCACTACCCTAGACCATATTATTCCTGCCTGTTACGGGTCAACGTGCTACATTGATTGTTTTGTTATGAGGAAAAGGAAGCTTCTTGTTATCGTGTTTCTATATTTCTAGCCTTTTGTCTTGGTTTGCTTGGGTTTTTTAAGCTACATTTTTGATTACGTAGTCCTTCAAGGTAATTGTCAGACATCCATTACATTCGGTAATATAGGGAGTGACCATGGGAAGGAAGAAAGAACGTGTGGGAGTACTCAGGCAAATCTGTTGCTTGTACTGAGAATGCAACCTGAACTTGAGATTTGCAAGTGAAATATTAGAAAAATATTGTACTGAAAGTTTCAAGGACCTGCTAGTGAGGGAAATGAGAGGTGAAAGGAGACAAGAGGTAATTGACTTGTCATCCAAAGGGTGAAAAGTAATAAAATGTTGATTTTAAGTGTAAACACTTCCTTGATGATGCAGTGTAAGAAAGACATAATTTTCCTTAATGCTTATGCAAAAGTCAAGTTCTGTTTTATGCAGTAAATCTCAGTGTCACTGATTCTAATTCAGTACAGGAGAATTCAAAAGTCTATGACAAGCTATTCTACTTTGAAGACCTATATCAAAATTGAAAAAGAAAAAAGAATTTGCTTTGAATGAAGAAGAAGAAAAACACATTATGTGGACTTCAGTCATAATTTCCCTGAAATGAGAGATGGAGTTCTAGATCTGAGTTTTCTTTGTGTTGTGATTGAAATAAAAACATGGAAAAGCAACTGTCCTTCTTCAGAATGCAAACAGGTGTGGAACATCTGCAGTACAGATATTCATTCATATGCAAATGTTTATACAGCATAAAAATACATTAACTTAAAATCTGATCAAACACTCTGTTTGATTCAGGTTTTCTTCAAAATTAGGTTCTGTTTTTAAAAAATATTTTTATGTAAACTGATTCTCATAAAAATTATGTTCAATTAAATAGAATGCAAAAGCTGAAGTTTCTGTTACTCTTGTGATGATTTTGGTTCTTGAAAGCTCTGGGTTCCATCCAAGACCTACTTAGCTACAGTTAAGCTGTTGTTTCCTTGTTTTTGACCTTTGGTTTTAAGGATGTTAGAATGAATTAAATGAAAATATGCTTTTCTATCAAACACTTTATAGAATAAGCAAACTTCAGCTAAGCAGTGCAGTCTATAACTACAAAGCTGAGGACTTGCTTATTTTAAATAGTGTAATATGATAGCTAAATTATACCTTATTTAACTCTTCAAAAAGGAGAAAAGAGTGAGGCTGTATTGCATAAGCCTTGTGTTTGCAATGCTGACTTTACAAGAATATCCAGTTTTGTTCCTCCTTAAGTTAATAGGGGATTTATGGTTTGCTGCCTTGGTGCTGTTGTTAAACTGTTAAAATAATACTGCAGGGAGCTGGGCTCTAATCCTGATTTTGGACAGACTCTGCTTTCTCCATTGTGAAAAGATGACACTTCCTCTGTAAAGGCAGAACCCCACGTTGTTCATCAGTCTCAATTGCAATAAAGTATGCTTTCTAAAATCATGCCATCGCAAGCTGGTTTGTCTCATTGTGTTCCAGCCTTTCCTGTGATTTAGATTGCTTTGCCTGCTTGTATTGCTGGGGAGCAGAAAGGATGTTACAGACCTACTGCAGGGTTATTGTAAAGGCTGCTGAGAACTCCTCCTTGTGTTTCTGTCCTCCTGTGGATGAGAAGAGGGCATACAGAACTCCTAGTGGTTTTAAGTGTGTGCTTGTAGGGCAGTCACAGTTAGTACAGGTGTACCTGGCCAGCTGAGGGGGTGAGATCTGCCCAGTTATGGCACCATGGAAATTGTCTCCAAGCTGTCCTCACCCTGCTTTGAGACTCTGGGTATATTTTTAGCTATGGGAGTGTCCAGCTGACCTTGTTTCATTATTCAGTTTATGAGAAATTGGGTATTGTCACCAACCAAAGATTTCTGGGCTTTTCATCATTTGAAGGCTGCATTTCTCTAGCTGTTTCTGTATAGCCTAGAGCATCTGCTGGCTCAGGTGTTCTGAAAAAGTCCTGCTAAAATAACTCAGCTCTGATGGGCAAAGAATAGGTTGATGTTGACAAATGAAATAATTTCAGGATCTATGAAATTTGTTCTGTAGCTTGGCTACAAATAGATGGCTCTGTATAGCTATGAGCTTTGTAAATAGTTGAACTTTGTGCAACTTGCCTAACTTGCAAAGTTGTTGAAGGACGTCAGGATGCCACCAGATTTTATGCTTAGTTCACAAAGTACAGATGAAACATGCAGAGTGGTAATTTTTTTTCTTGTATGCGACCATACTCACAGCATAGATATTAATGGAGCTGCTAATTAAGATCTTGCTGCTTGACTGTGCTCAGTTTAATGTGAAGTATTTAAAAGATGTGTAGACGTGGCACTTGGAGACATGGTTTAGTAGTGGAATTGGCAGGGTTAGGTTTATGGTTGGACTTGATGAAGACCTTTCTAAGCTAAATAATTCAATGATCCTAGGACTCTAATTGATTAAAAGCTACAATATGCTTTGTGCCTGCATGAAAGAGCAGATCAAATCTAAATTGAAATAGATCATGTTTTACTGCCTTGGGGTAATTGTGTGTAGCATAAAGCTTTTAAATTAGAAGTGACAAACCCAGTAGTCTCGGTTGCCACTCAGAGTAGGTGTGTGTCATAGTGTATAGATTTGCAAAAGTAGGAGGGACCAAACTTGCCTGTTCTTCACAGAAGTCCTGACATTCATGAAAAGTCCCACAGCTCCTCAGGTCCATGGCTTGAAGCCTGTCATGTTGACTCCTGGAGACTCTGGCCCTTCAGATCCCAGGAAAGGGATTCTCCAGAGAGTATTTATTACCTGCTTTCCCTGTTGAAAGTGAGAACTATGAGGTGCCTTTGTGATTAGCCTTGCTGAAGTTTTCATGCTCTTTTTAAAAAGTCTTAGCAGGTAACCAGAGGGGAGCTTGGTGACTCTGTACCTTTAGAGACAAGCTCTACTGCTAAGACAGATCTATTTTCTGGTACTTGCAGTGGCAAATCTTATTCCAACAGGGCCTTTTCACCTATACTCAAAGGTTTTTCCTCTCCTGCAGAGGTAGAGGAGTGTGTTAGCCCAAATACTCTTTAGTGAGGCTTTGCTGTCCTTTAGTTTGGAGATTCGGTTAGAGCTATGTGAACTTGCCACATCACATGGCTTGTAATAGGAGAGGAGCAGGGCTAAAACACAGAGAACAAAAGTAGCTGGATTGAGAATACCTGGTACGATTTTTTATGAATTGCTGAGCTTTTCTGAGTGGGGGAAAAATAAAATTCTCAAAAATTAGGAGTATTAAAGACAAATCGATGTCTGAACTGTGAGATCAGGAAACTCGAGAGATAAACTGAATGAAAAGTTTTCCCTTAAGGTCCTCATGGAATTTCCAAAGACAAATCTAAACGGAGAACAGCATGGATTTACATCTTTGTCTACAGGAACAGAATAATTATTTGCAGCCAGAAAAGAAACTCCAGGTTCTTGGCAGAAAAATAAAGAGGTCTGGCTCAGAGACTTGAACAGAGTTGATTTAAAGTCTTTCAGGGGCAAGTGTAAGATTTTTATATGTACAGTAGAACAAATTTGTGAAAATGCAGAGGTGGGAGATGAAAAACGTTGCTTCATACTTGAAAATACAAATACGTGGACTTTGTTTATTTCTGCATGCTCAAATGTAGTATGCTAAATACACTGTTTACAGTAAGCAAGGTAATTACCTTTAAAGGAATGTAATATATTGCCACTTCCGATTGCAGTCTTCAACTTAAAAACAAGACTTATTTTGAGTATTTTAACAAAAATGCCATTTCTATTTCACACTTCAGTCTGCAATGACAGGAGAGGTAGATGATGCTATCATCTCCCAGTTTGAGCAATCTGAAAAATATATGTGAATTTTAGGTGCAAGAAAGTTCACAATTATTTCTTGATTGCTGTGGGAAGTAGTTCTGGGTTTTGGGTTGTTGGGTGGGTTTTTTATGCTTTGGTTTTGTGTTTGGGTGAATGTTTTATGTTTTTTTCCTTTTTTAGTAGCTCATGTTGTTCTTTTGATCTGTTTGATATTGCTGGAATCATTTAAAGCAGCATTAGGCTGGTTTTACTCCCTTTCTCTCTCTCTCTCTCTCTCTCTCTCTCTCTCTCATCTGTGTTTGTGCCTAGGGAAGCAGGAAGAGTAAGGATTTGCTTCTGTCCATTTGAGTGAAGATTCCTGTGCTTTGCAGAGATTTTTGGTGAGGCCTTTGCAGGCTTTTGTGGGTGAGTACTAAACCAGCAATTAGTTCTGCAGTGTGTGAGAGAGTGAGTCACGGACCGTGTTCTCTGAGGCTTGTACAGAGCAAGATTCACTAAGGCAGCAGTAGTAGACTGAGCTCTGCTCCCTCAAAGCCTTCCCCTCCGATACCCCTGCTCAACTTTAAAGAAACAGGACTGTCCAGATTAATTTCTCTTCAGATTAACCAGAAAGATGGAAAAATGCATATGGCTGTCACCAGTAGGGATAGTTCACATGGCTTAGCAATCTAAGGCTTTTTAGTTGTCTGCTTTTCTAAAGAGAATTTGAACTGAGACTTCAAAAGGTGAGCAGGGGAGAAAGCTTCACTTTTTCAAGCAAGGACATTGGCTTTTTTGTGGCCTGGCTCTGGGGACCTGCCTATACATGGGCTTATTTTGAACAGCTCTCCACCATGTCTGTGTGACTAGAACAGGGGCTTTGAAATACAGTTTCATATTTGTATAATCCATTGTATTTGAAATGCACTCTGCTTTAATACTAACAGACTTTAAGCAGAGACAAGTTCTTGACAGTTTGTTGAAAACAAAGTCTTTTTGTGGAAATATTTTATACTTTTAAAGGATTTTTTAGAAATGTGTTTGGATGCAGACTGGTTTGTGTGTGAACAGAGAGGGCAGACCTGCAGCACAGGCACTGGGGCTCAGGTGGGATGTGGGAGATTGAAATGCACGTCTCTTACTTGATTCAAAAATGAAAGCAAGTCTTGAAATCAAATACTGTACTTGTACACGATGAAGTCCTTGACATTCATCCTGCTTGAGAGTATGTTTTTCAAATTAAGTCATCCTAATTTTTCATTTCTTTAAATATAGAAGCATCCAGTTACATTTGGGATACAATATTTATGTAGGAAAGGAAGGCTGAGGAAAGAGTTAATCAAGGGCTGGTCATGCACAAAGAAACCAGGCATTTTTCTAAAGGCCAAACGGTAGGACTTGATCCTTGCTGATGCTGACAGACATGTGGAGGTCAACATTCAGCAGATGGGGCTCCACCCTTCTGATAATCTGCCTTTAAACTTCGTCCTCCTCCAGAGTAGTATTTTGGAGGTAGTTCTGTAAGGTTCATCTAGTGCTGTGGGATAGGGCAGGAGCTGTGTCCCTGCTGGTCCCCAGGGAGGCTGATGCAAAGGGACCAGAGGCAAAGAGAACAGAGAGAAAATAAGTCTGTGAGGACAGAGCAGAAAATAAGTTTAATAACATGGATCTATGTTTGGGGATTTTTTTTTTGATTTTTTTTTTTGTCACTGTGAACTGCAGGACTGACAGAGGCAGGGCCTGCCCCTGCTGCCTCTGGAATGTTAAAAAGTAATAATAAAAAAACAGTCTTCAGTGCTGCTGCTGATTTGGTAGGACACAAATTTGCTACTCTCCCTCAGCACTGTTCTCCATTCGGTTGAAAATCATCTTTTTCCTTGGAATTGAAAGAAATAAAATAGTTTCCTCAATCCTCTGTGGGACCTATTGTCTACAGTCAGGTACAGTCAGCCAGCCTCCTCTGCCATTGCCCAGCTACCACACAACCTTCGTCTGCCAAGGGACTCATCCTTTGGCTCAAATACATGAGGTAACTCCTCATACTGCCTTGAGGAAAAACCAGCAGTAATTGGAAGTAATGATCTAGTAATAAAGGTCAAATTTTAATGATTGGGGACATGGCCTAGGTTAATAACTCCTGTTTTCTGTTTCAGGAGAAGAAACGTTATTTACTTCAAGGTGAATGCTGTACTCTGCTTTGTCCCCTTGCTTGTTTAGGATTTAGGCAATAGATAGTTAAGGCAGTCTGATTTTTTTTCCCTTCTTTTCAGCTAGCTTGTCTGTGAATTATAGCAGATCTGGCCTATTTTTGGAGGGGTTTGAGGCAGAGATGCTTACAACAGCTTGCAGAAAGGACAAGACTTGCTTTTGTAAAATTCTCCTTAATGTGCCAGCATCTGTGTAATTCAGTGTTTCTGTTATTTGGTCCATGGGTTTCAGAAACTTCTTTTTTGCCAGTTGTCTCCCCATTTCTGGAGGTAGGGAGAGGTAAGACCTTCCAACCTGGTGAAAGATTGAAAACAAACCTTGATTGTTTTCAGGTGAAACTCCAGCTGCAAGCTGCACAGCCAACAGAGGCTAGCAACAGTCACACCATACATCTTGCTAGCTCTTTTCAATTTATTTTTGTCACCCCACAGGTGCTACCTTTTCCATCCCACTACAGTCTGGAAAAATTCTTTGATGAAAGACAACAAAGTACAAGATGATAGCATTATACCATCTGAGATGGCTTTCAAAGAATGGTATGAGACTCCAAATAATTCCTTTGGTGCAGGAAAGAGAAATGTTTTATTTGAGGAAAAGTAGAAGACAGCTCTTAAGCCTGGAGCTTTCAGTGACTATTTTCACCTTGCTGAAATTCAAGATAACTTTTTCTATAAAAATTTCTATATATTAAAATAAATAATAAAGATAAAGACAGAGTGCTGGGGGGGGGGTCTGTGGATGGCTTCACTTTTTATCCTTCTCATAAGTAAAGGTCAGGACTGTTACATTAGAAGAAGGTGCAATGTGCTGGTTTGTCTATCAGTGCAGTCAGTATTTCATTCATCTGCTTAGGCTTTCTGTCTGCAACCAGCTCAGTTGAGCAGTGTGGTTGTGTTGATTTCTGCCTGCAACACAGAGGGTTTCACTGGACAGAGACTATGCTATTTAAAGTCAAATCATCTTTATTATTTGAATGGGGGCAGAGGGGAGGAATGCAGAAATGCAATTCTGTGTGTGTCTGCTAGCACACAACTTCTGTGGCAGCCATTGGGAAAGCACATTTGTCTCAGGCTTAGCACCCTGGTCTTAGTGTGTCTTACAACACAAGTACTGATTTTATATTTTTTTTAATTGTAATTCGTGATTGTGGTAGCATTTTTGTTTGTTTAGTTGGGGGGTTTGGGGGGAGTGGTAGGTTTCTTGTTTGTTTGTTTGTTTTTGTAATTTCTCTAATGAAGCTTCATTTGCGCAGGATCAAACTTTTCTGGTGAGTGCTGCACTTTAGGCCTTCACACCTGAGAGTGGACTTACTGAGGGAGTGACCAGCTCTGCTTTCACTGTGAGCTTGGAACATGTGTAAGTAAGAGGGCTGTTAGAAATCAGAAGATTGGCCTTGTGCTATGTTAAGGCAACTGTAGGGCCAATAAAATGAGCATTCACAAGTCAAGAAAATCTGGAATTGCAAAATGCTTGCTGTATCAACCCAGACACAGCTTGGCAGTAATTGCTGTAGCATATCTAAATTAAGCAATGAGGCTTCTGTGGTAGCAACTGCTATGAAAGACTTTGCAATGTACATGAGCTCTTCCAAGACCCAAATGCACTTTTACATTCAAGGGGGAGTTGTCAGCATTGAGATCCTCACAAACAAGCCACTGAGGCCCTAAATCAGCAAAATACTTTTAAGCATATCCTTAAGCACTTTGTTGTTGATGAGGGGAGACATAAGCTCTTAATTATTTGTGCTGAACCAGGGAGATGGGAGGCTCCTTGAGTATCTTCTAAAACACTTAAACACTAGCTATGCCCTGAAATGCAGAGCCTGAAATGCTGCTGCCTTACCCTCTCAAGCTGCACTTGTCCTCTCTGAATATGCTCACTAACCTTCAAGTAACTTGCCTTGCATCTGATTCTTTGTGGGAATTTTGCCTATCCTAAGTATTTTTCAGTTTAGAGGAACAGGCATAATGCTTTATTCAGCTTTAACTGGAGCACTTTTGATAACTGTCCATCTTATTCAAATACTGCTGAGCATGGGAGTATTAAATAATCTGAAAGACAAATGGAGGATGAAGCCAGGAGGGAACCGACTTTGTCTTTTATTTTGCATCTATATCAAAACCAGCTATTGGTAGATACTTCATCTCTATCAGCACAGCTAGCATTTTGGAGTTCACCACAGGAAGCAGAAAAAGGGAGAAAAGAACTCCCCATCCCCTCCCCAAAGCAGCAGGCAGCTGCAGCTGTTTTCAAGGAGACGGTTTGTGTCAGCAGATCTTATACAGCTATGCTCAAAAAGTTTGTGTCAGCAACCATAAAAGCTGGCCCATCAGCATTTCTGTTTTATTCCATACACAAAATGCATATTACTGAACAATTATGCCAAAGGCAGGGAATATTTCTTGATAGCACAACTTGGAAGTATCTTCTCCCTGTGAGAGCAATCATGTCACGTGCCACAGAAGTCTGTGTGGATTTAGATGTAAATTCTTGTTGCAGGTCCTTGCTGAAAGACTGTGTTGAGAGCCAAGTCATTTGGTGTTACATCTTGTCCAAGGTAGTCTTGGCCTGATCCAAAGTTCAGGGAAAGTAGTGAATTGCTTGTAATTCTAAAAAGCTTCTTCGAGCTCCCCAAAAGCATATTAATTATAAAGGAAACTTAGTGATGTTTAGACTCCATAGTCTTCAGAGAATACATAAAACACACTGTGATTTTGGTGTGCAGTTCAATCTAGCTGGTAGAGTAGAAAGGAGAACTAGGATGAATTTTGAATAAAAATTGATTTACTGCTTTAATATATGTTTACTGCTCTAGTTCAGCCACCATTTAATTGTGTTTTGGTTGTCTCCATTAAAAAGATGTTTTAATTCCTCTTTTGTCAAAAGTCACCATTCAAAACATTTATTTATTTCACAGTTCAAAACATTTGGTTCAGAAGTTTGGTGGAGGAACAGAATTGGGTTTTAATTTCACTTTTTATTGAATGAACCCTGTTTTTCTCTCCTGTGAATAGGCAACAACTTGCTGTACAGTTCTCATCTCTGCTTATGAAAAGTGCAAATTCTATAAGAAACAAACCAAAGAAACTCAAGCAAAACATCATGCTTATAGTTAAGGAAGTAGAAGGGAAGCATGAAAATCCAGAGACACTCATTGATTATTTCCTATATGGATAGGAAATATTCTATCCATATACAGGAGCTTGACTAATTAATTGCATGAGTCTCAAAGTCTGATTTCTGATAATACAAACCACTTTGGACATGGGGACTCTGGTGATCCAAATCAGTGTGGAAATCACTGTGATGCTGAGATCTGCCTTACCTACTTGTTGGCTGTTTCGTCCAGTCTGCTGCTGGAGGTAACTGCTGCCAATGCCTAAGCCAGCACAACAGATTTTGTGTGACACCCACTTCTTTTAAGCAGCCTTGAGAGTATTTAAGATAGATCTGGATACCTGTGCAAGGCAATGAAGGGAATGCAAGGATTAGGTGTGCTCAGAAGTTTGCAACTAGGCCACTGGGGCCAGATGATAATATCCAGTTGGGAGGGGGTGTGTGTGTCACTATAACAACTTTAAAAATAAGAAACAATATTACAAACCCCAAAATGAAACAAAACAAGCAAAGCCCACCAAAAAAACCCCCACCGTCAACAGGAACAGCTAAGTCTGTTGAAAAGTCTTCTTGACTGCAGCTGAAGCCAGATTGTCTATGTAAGAGCTAGCATAAATTTTAACAAAACAATAATAAAGGATGAAAGGTACAAGAAACGTTTTCCTGGAGTTGCAGTTTCTTTCTTCCTTTCTCTTTCTTTCTTTCTTTCTCTTTTCCTCTGAAATCAAGAGACTCTCAGAAAGAGAAAAAAAATCAGTTCATTGAGTATGCAGTATTTTCTGTTTTCTCTGTGGACTTTCTAGTAATACGGTATTCAGGCAAAACAAATAAATGAATACAACATATTTTACTGTGTTGTGTTTATGAGACAATGACCCAATTATTAATTTGTAGCCATATAAGCAGGCACAATCTCAGAAAATGAAAACAAATGCCCTGAGGACTAACTGTGGGCATTTCTGAATAAGCTAAATAGTTCCAATATTGTGCCATCTTCAACATCTCCCCACCACTTAGGGGCTGAGTTGATAGTCATGTCCAGTGATGATTTGTTTTCTCTAAACCCCCTCTACAGCAGTACCTTAATGGCTCTGACGTGCAGGATACTACCTGCCTTCTGTCATGTAGGTTCAGAATTGGCACTGGCCAAGAACATTTGTAGGTACCAGACAGTGTCTCCATTACATTCCTCGTCTGACTTCACCTTCCTGCAGGTTGTCTAGAAGCTAGGATGCCTTCTCCCCATTGGCTAATGGTGTCCATGAAGTGAGTGAAACTAGAGGAGAAAAGCTCTTGAGAATTTTTAATCTTGTAACATTTTGACAAATATTCAAATAACATTAGTGACTCATGAAAAGATAAGGGACACCAACTGTTTCTCTTTGAGAAACCTCTCTAACTGCCTAGGAGAGAGGAAAGTAAGGAGGTCAAGCTGATTCACTTGAAAAGCAGTCAGTTTCCTCTCTGTCCAGCCAACCTTAGTGTCTTCAAAAATACTTTTGCCAAATACAGAGCTTAAATTCTTTTTTGTTTTTTTTTGTTTCAGCTTCAGCCCTTGACACTACTGCAGCTAATCCCAGTGAAAATATTTCTCTTCCTTTCAATCATTTTTCTTCCTGTGAATATTTATATAGCTATTTAGCTCTTTGCTTTAATTATTTTCCCTTTAGGCCATTTAGTTCTTGTTATCTTACTTCCAAATTGTATTTTTAAATAACAAAAGCAGTGTTGAATATAGTTTAAATCAGACAACATAATACATCTGAGATTTCACAATAATTTCAAAATTAGGCTTTAGAAGACAGTAGTGTCCATTTTACTAAGACCAGCAATACAATGTTATTAATTAGCCCCTTGTCAGAGATTTTTGAACATTTGAAATAATAAGGTCTTTTAAAAGTGATTTACTGTGTGTTACTGGCACATAAAAGTCTATTGTCAGACTTTACATTAATTCTCCATCCTATTTTAATACTAATTACAATGACTACTTGAGTGTTTAATTTTTAAATACTGAATTAATTTTTCTTGTGCTTGTTAGAACACTGTGAAATAACTTGGAAATGTTTGTGACATTTGATGTTTGATTTCATAATGTCTGATGGAAGGTATTGCATGTTTCCTCACATCCTGCTCTGGCAATGTTAATGCTGTTCATTCTTTAGCAAGAATGGGACTGGGAAGAAGTCCAGACTTATCTGTTCCTGAGGGAACTGGAGGATCCAGGGGATTATGAGATTCAGAGATTCTTAACTCCTAAAGCATTTGTTTGAATTGCTAGTAACTTAGAAGGTTAATATACTAAATATATTTGTAAAGCCTCTTACATAAAATTTGTATACTAAATGGATGCAGGACTTGAAAGAATACTAAGTTTGCTGACAGTATGGAATTAGGAGCAACTGTTGCCTTAGATATAGAGAAGCCCTGGTCAACTACCATGTGAAGTTTCAACATCTGCTATTGGGCTGGGGCAACCCTGGATGTGCCTTTGTGCTGGGGAACAAGCTGCTGGAGAGCAGGGAAAGGGACTTGGGTTTCCTGGTCGATGGCAAGTTGAACATGAGCCAGCAGTGCCCTGGAAGCCAGGAGGGCCAACCCTGCCTTGAGGGGCATCAGGCCCAGCAAGGCCAGCCGGGCAAGGGAGGGGATTGTCCTGCTCTGCTCCGCTCTGGGGCAGCCTCACCTCCAGTGCTGGGGGCAGTTTTGGGTGCCACAGTGTAAGAAAGGCATTAAACCATTAGAGAGTGTCCAAAGGAGGGCACAAAGATGGGGAAGGGCCTTGAGGGGAAGCTGCATGAGGAGCAGCTGAGGGCACCAGGTCTGTTCAGCCTGGAGGAGGCTGAGGGGAGACCTCACTGCAGTTACAGCTTCCTTGTGAGGGGAAGAGGAGGGGCAGGCACTGAGCTCTTCTCTCTGGTGACAGTGACAGGACCAAGGGAATGGCCTGAAGTTTTGTCAGGAGAGGTGTAGGTTGGATATTAGAAAAATATTCTTCTCCCAGAGGATGGTTGGGCACAGGAACTGGCTATCCAGGCAAGTGATCACGGCATCGAGCCTGACAGAGTTCAAGAAGATTGTGTTTGGACAATGCTTTAGGCCACAGGGTGTCACTCTTGGGGCTGTCCTGTGCAGGGCCAGGAGTTGAACTCCCATGATCCTTGTGGGTCTATTCCAACTTAGGATATTCTATAACTATGAAATGGTATCCTGCAGTTTTTCAGTGGATATTCTCTCCT